TTGGTTTATGCGACTCAAGGAATCATTGAGAAAGTAGTAAGCTCTTATAGCGCCCGATAGATAGGCAACATCTCGCCTGGGACGCATGCGTGCGCAGCGGGATGGCCTACCCTGATGTTCGCAGGCGCCTCGGCTCCCGTAATCATCAACCGGGTATATCTGAGGGAAACGGACGCGTCCTTTCTGCTGGAGGATCCCTCGCAGTCAGACACCTGCAATGGACACGGAAACACGGTGAAGACGAGGTCTCTATATCTGAAGAGCCACCCCGTCCCTTTAGCCTTCGCGACTCTCTACTTCGCCGCGCCCGATGACGCTCGCGAGCTCAGCATCCTGCGAGATCTCTCCGCCCGACACGGCGCAGCAGGGTGGAAGCCCAGAGATCTCGCGCGCGCGTACATACGATAGGCGGGCCGCGAGGGTTTCCGATCGACTGCACGCTGCCGTCGTCGGAAAAAGTCGCCCAGAGAGACGATATTTGACGCGACGGAAAAGAAACATTTGTTCACATATCATCAACTATTTGGTGCATTTCTGGCGCTATTATAAACATGTTTAAATATTGCAATAATTAATTGGCATTGTCGTAATCCCTAGGTCCTCGAATGATCTTCGTTAAACGGTGAAATCAATATGTTGATTTTGTTAAGGAAACGTTGAGGAACTCTATTTGGGGAAAACTACTGAGATATCGCAACATATTTTTTTAAATCTCAAAGAATGAGGAAAAATTTGATTTTTTTTAAAGCGGCCTCCTCGAAGTTTGAGCAGTTTTCCTCGAACCAAAGGGAGCCCCTCAAAGTTTTCCCTTTTCTCAGAAAAAATCACATTGCTTTTACCGTGTTAGTTCTATATTTTTCCACTCCACTGATGCTCCTCTTTCTCTTTCGAGAGCTGAGTCCACTGCCTTTGTGTGGGCGGGAAGGTGAATTGCCTCTCCCGCGCCTCATAGTGTATATGGAACTCCACTCAAGGGGAGCGTGTTTGGCTCGGAGGGGTGGGGAGGGGGGCTGCTGGAACAGGCTGGTCGGTTAGGGTGGGGTGTCCAGCGCCGGAGGAATATTGGGTGCGAGGGGAGACGTGGTGTGGTCTGGAAACTGATAGGACTCGGCCCCTTTTTTCCGTGGGGAGAACCCTACTCCCTACTCCTATTAAATCTTAACTCGTCCAGGGAGCATTTGGTCAGACTTTTACCACTAACCGCCTGATCTCCCCCCCCC